ACCCTTTTAATGGCTACCGTAGTGGATGTATTCACGTGATAACACTTGTAAAGGTCCCTTTTCCACGTATTTAGGCGTAAGGGGCATATAGGGCTAGACCTATATTTTCATAGACCAATCGGCACAAGATGGATGATGTGGTCAGCATCACACCGGCTGCCTTTACTTTCCAGGATTGCACCCGGTACCCACTCAAAACTAGGTCGACATGGGAGTCAAGGTCATTTTTTTAAAAAGTCCCGCTTCGCCAGGGAGCGAACCCACGACCTTCCGATCCGCATGTGAGCGACTAGCCGCCACGCAACGGCGACTCCCGTGATACGCTTGAAGCCTGTGATTTAATATAAAAACTAAATTGGTAAGCGCTTATATAAACAGACCCCGGTTTAGGCAGAAAAGCCACATTTCTCCCAGATTTATGGTATTTATCATGGAATCAAGGCCGAAGGGTTGCCATATCCATAATGCCCAGCCTAAGGGTTAACAACTCATGGCTTCTGGATACTTTAAAACAAAAATTTATAAACACAATTTGTCTCCTGTAAGGTATAATTTGAACTACACTGGTTCTTCGAGGAATGGGTTGTCGCTAGCACATATTATTTCAAATGGCGGTGCTTTATTAACATCCTACCCCAAACAGGGGATATCCACAGGTCACAGGACAGTCTAATATTTCAGGGCGTGATAGATATGCTGCATGCAGTCGTGGGACCTAGGCTGTATGCAGTCGTGGGACCTAGGCTGTATGCAGACGTGGGACCTAGGCTGCACTCTCTCGTTGGAGGTAATGGATTGGAGTTAGAATCAGTTTTAGATGTTTTAGGGTCGTTAAAAGCATCAGAAAGCTGGAAAACTCAGTATTACCACCCTCTAAAATGCTAGACTGTCCTATGACGTCATCTGGAGTAGGATCTTAAAAAAGAGCCCAGATCGCTTTGTGTAACTATCTTTAATTGTCTGATTTTATCAATAGTGCCAGTTTACAGCATAGCTTCTATATAAGCACCTTTCAAACAACATACCCGACGGTTTCAAACATTTTTTGGTTGGATTACCCTTCCTAGTCACTCTCTTTCCATTGTCATACTGTTTAGAAGGAAAACCACGGAAGCATGCACAGCAGGAGTCTACCGATCATCAGTAGGTGTTCGTTTCCGACACTTTAGCCCGTTAACCTCCAAAACGACTTTCTGAGGATGGGACAAATTGTGAATGTATTTCTCACAAAAAGTGAAGGATTTTTACGCAGTCAAAATATTGACATATTTTTCTCAAATTATGATTTTATAGACAAAAAAAAAAAAAAAAATAGTATTCATTTGATGATGGGATCAACACCAAGTCCACAGCCTTTATTTCCCATAACATTTCCAGGTCTCCATTTTATATCTTTTCAGAGGCTCAGATAATTTCATGCCTAGGGCTAGACATATACTTTATCAACTAATTGGCAATTGGTGGGTGATATGGTCAGCATCATACCGGCTGCCTTCGCTTCCCAGGACTGCACCCGGTACCCACTCAAGGCTGGGTCGACCTAGAAGCCTAGGTCAAGTCGGAGAAAAGTCCTGCTCCGCCAGGGAGCGAGCCCATGATCTTCCGATCCACAGGCGAGCGCCTAGCCGCTCCGCCACAGGGACTCCCATCACTGTTAATGTTAGACCTTTTTAAAAATAGAAAAATATTAACTGTACCTAACTGTCCAATAGCGCTCAACACAGGAGCCAGACAGGGATGCATACCCACCCCTCTTTTTGTTCAATTTGGCCATTGACTGGCTGAGGAAGGAAGTTACACGAGATAGAACAAGAGGCATCAGGTGGTGACTCACCTCTGTTTTAGAGGTTTTGGACTATGCAGATGACATCAGCCTTATATCAAGCCGTCATGGAGACGCTCAGGAAAAGAGTGAAAGACTTTCAACAACAGCCCTTAAGATATGACTCAAAATGAACACCAGTAAAACTAAAGTAATGAGAAATAATTTCAAAACAGAAAATCAAAATATTTTAAATGATAAAGAAATAGAGGAAGTTAAAAAATGTATATACCTCGGAAGTAAAGTTACTCCAGACGAAGATTCTGAAAAGGGTGTAATATTAAGAATAAACAAAGCAAAATAAAGCATTTGCTATGCTTAACTGTATATTGAAGTCAAAGGGATTTAGTGTGAAGACAAAACTCAAAATATACAAGAGCAACATTTAAGGAATACTATTCTACAACTGTGAATGTTGGAAAATGACAGCGGGGATTACACATAAACTTGAGACTTCAAAATAAATGTTTAAGGAAAATTCTACGAATATTTTGGCCAAACAAGATCACAACTGAAGAACTGATGAGGAAAACAGAATGTGCATCACTGGCAAGTGTTATCAAAGTAAGACGATGGAGATGGCTTAGACATGTTTGCAGAATGCCTTGTGACACTCTGGCAAAAACAGCTCTCCGGTGGTCACCAGATGGGAAAAAGGAGACGAGGACGACCTAAGGAAACATGGAGAAGGACAATAGAAACGGGAAATGAAGAATTGTAAACTGACATGGGATACCATGGGCAGAAGACCTGCAGCAATTGAGATCACTTGTGAATGTCTTGTGTGTCAACATAAGAGGATATAGATGTGGATAAGAATCCAAAACCTTTGGGCTGGTGAGCGTTTAGTCGCAACGCTGCTACTTCTTCCAATAATAATGGTAATCCTATTTATATATAAAACAAATCAATGTACCTAAATGTCCAACAGCGTTCATCTTTAACGAAAATTATCAACAGTAACAGTTCTAGGAACACTAGTAATGGAATCAAATCATTTATTTTCATGTAAATAATATATTACAATTACCCATACTCGTATATTATATTATTATGTGCACGCACTCACAATCACACACCCCATGACATACAAACCCATTCTTGTGAGGCTACCTCATAGACCACAACAAGGCAACGGGCCATCAAACATCCTGGTCTATTTATAAACAGTTAATGATAAATCAGGTGGGCAGTAAAAAGTGAGATAATGATTACGGAAAGAAATATTTGTGAACACATCAATGTGATTGCTGTGGTTTCAGCAACTTGCATATAGACAGGGACATTTCTGTCACGTGCAGGCTCGTGGACATCTCACAAAGTCAGAACACCAGAGTGCTGGATGCAGAAAGATATCACACGGGTTAGATTGCATTCTATATTTGCTCAATCCATCCTCATTGAGATATGCGAGGAATCCATGGAATAGGGCCCGACGCAACATTAACAGTGATTGCATATTTTATTATTAACCTTCTCTTTCTCTGTGTGTTAGTTTTTGGGAGTCTCCATGGCGAAGTGGTCAAACAGTTTACCTGGAGCTCTAATGGTCATGGGTTCCTTTCACAGAGGCGTCGTTAAGTTTCCAGATAGATTTCCGTGAATGGTCGCTGGAGCTAAGGAGTTCTTTAGTTAGTTAGTAAGTTAATCAGAAGACCATTCTCATCGCACAGTGGACAATGAGCTCGAATCTCATTTTCAGCATCTCCCTGACATCGAATGATAACACTAGTTATAAAAAGGTTGAGTCGGGAGATCTGAATCAGCGTCATTGCACACGGTTATAAACCATAAATGCTCTGCCACCAGTACGGACAGCTGATAAGAAACTGTCCGCCTGTGTCGCTGTCCGCACGCAACTCCGTAGCTACAGCGATGTTTCTCCATTTACCCCAGAGAGTTAACTTTTGCACCCATTTCCTAAAGGCTGGATGAACCACGGAAATCGCCTGCTTTTGAATACCAGCCTTGGGCTGCAGCGAGTCGCAGCTGATTTTGAAAGCGAGTCTCCTATCTACTGCACTAACGCAGTCCCCACTTGTTCTGTTTTGGCTTACTATTCTTCTTTGGTTACCGGCATAGTATTCATGTCTGGCATCACCTATTTTGATACGCTGGTCTTGTCAAGGATGCCGATTTACTGCTGTCTCCTGATTCACTCATGTGTCCTGCTTTTTGTGTGTGACATCTTTGAGAACACAGCCGCTCCAGTGTCTTTATCGTGCTACGGAGTTCGTGCTTGCTTCGACAAGCTCGGCAGGTGGCTTGCCATTTTTCAGATAATTTAGTGCAATGAAGTCAATCCCGTGTACTTAATTTTTTTTTATAAACAGATGTCCTTCTTCAGTACTTGATATGTTGGCGTATTTCTAGTTGGGTTGGGTTGGGGGAGGTGGGGGGTCTAGAGAGTCAGGGGAAAAAAGAAGGATGGGGTAGGATGTTGTTCACCACTTCGGAATCCGTTTTTTCCCCTCTACTTTACAAAAGAAAACAAACATAAAACTCTCGTACATACTGCCATTATTATACCTCGTTTGACAGCAGTATCATGTGGAGAGAAAAAAAGGTAGGGGTAGGGGAGTGGGAGGGGTCTTTTACAACCTGAGGATTGTTGACAACATGGCTGCTGCTGGCATCACGAAATGCGCAGTAAGTAAGTAGATAACCAGTGGCGCATCAGGCATATGGTGTTAGATTCATATTTGTATAGACCAATCGTCATTCGATGATTTGAGTTTTCAACATTATTAAATCGATCGTCTTCACTTCCCATGACAGTACCCGGTTGCCATTTTTAGGCTTGGTGGACTTAAAGCCAGCGCTAATTTCGAGTTGGAAAGAAAAAAACGACTTGATGCTAGTTGGAACTAGTCTTTCAGATCCACAAATAGGGCGGAAATGCACTTGTAGGGAATTTATTTTGCGACTTACAGAAAATGTACCATCTCCCTACCGAAGATTCAAACAGGTGTGTCCCTGGTGAGAGTCACAATTGCTCGGATAAAAGAGAGTTTAATTATTATATATCATGCTCTGAAATAACTCGTAGTCATATCATAGACTAGAGACTTATTGTGGTCAATTGCCAAGTGGCGTTGTGTCACAATGTAAGTACACTATCACAATGCATACAGGGATACAATACAATCATCTACTGTTCTCTACGACAGTATGTCCACTACTGATATCTTTCATGTGTTGCAGCTGTTTGTTCATCACTTGTCCCCAAAGTCACATTTGTCTTGGTATCTTCAGATTTTTTAACCACCGAATTTATTGTCAATAGTTTTCTGTTGTTTAAAGAATTGTGTATCGGACTGTTTTTCGAATTTCTTCCAGCTAGGGACACTGAATCAGCGGTTGTACAGTCGGTCAAAGGTTCCTTTCCAATGTTCTCCCTTGCATTCGCATAACGTATCTGCTTCGTTCCATTGTTTTGTTTTATTTTCCTCAAAATACCATTTTGGGCACTTGTTGTATCACTCACCACAGTATTCAACGGTATGTTCTCACCTGTGTTGCCATTTTCTTTGCTCTTCTTTTTAAAACATTTAAAAAAGCCAAGCGACGTGCATTGGGTCGTTGTTTCGTCGCTATTATCAATGTCCCCATTTGTGTATTGTGACGTACGACAACTTGACTGAGACTGTCTTCGGTTTTTCTGAAATATGTGTCGAAAGACACGCATCAAAACGCGCCGAAACTTTCTCCCGAAAGCGGTGTAAATAAGAAAGTTAACAGCAGAATTAGTTGTGAACAAAAGGTTGCTAATTGCTAACCAATAAATGAATGCTCCGGTGTTGATGAGATCAAACTGCGAGATCAGTCCTGGAGTCTGGCAGAAGATAAACACGATGACGATCAGCACCAGAACCATACTGAGGTTGGCTTCGTTTTCGTCGTTAATGTTTGTACCGGAACGTCGCTGCTGCATGGCCATCAATTCCTTGATGAGAAAGCTGTTGATGATCAGAAGGGCAAGAAATGGGATCACGTAGATGATAATGCTGTACATAATGGTGCGGTAGGTCATGTAGAATTCGGTGTTGCCGAAATCTGTTGTAACGACCTCCAAACAATATGACACTGGTGCTGGAGTTGACGCTGTTGTGATGGCAGACAAAGGAGTTGGCGGAGTTGAAGAGAGCAACAGCTCATACAGATCTCCCTCACTGTTGATAACCGTTACTTTCATTTCTGCCGGCGCGGTGGTATTTGCCGATGCCGCACACGGGCTAGCTGTGGTTGCCAGAAGGTGCGGGATATTGTAAATGAGAGAAATGATTACGATAGTGATGAGAACGATTATCGTCTTCTTCCTGGTGATCAGGCGAGCTGCCCGAAATGGATGACAGATGGCTATGTAGCGCTCCATGGATACGGATACGGTTATCCATACATTGCATTGTTGTAATGTCATAATGATGTAGTATCCGGGTGTGTGGATCACTGGGTATATGTGATCTTTAAAATATTCCGAGGCATCTGAGTGAACGTAGTTGGCACAACTGTGGATGACAAATGGACTTTTTAATAATAGGAGACACATTTGGATGTAAGAAAATACAACACATTATAAACAAATTTAGCGTAGTTAAGAATGAAAAATTATTTTGTGAACATTTATTCTTCTTGTTGTGTTACTGTTGTTGATTCCATCTGAGTTTTGCTTGTACATGTATTTTGCTCTGGCTTATTATTATGCTGACTGCTGGTTGTTTGCATCTCAGGCAGAAGCACTCTAACTTTGAAAGAAACACTGCTGATCAATCGTCTTTTACGACATGCATGTTTGGGATCATTGGGTGTTTTCTTCTCTTTCCCCCCACCCCCAGAGGGACACGAGAACCCACACAAGTAATGAATATATCTGGCACACATGTAAATATGCAGTCAACACTTTAGGAACATAGGTGACACCTTTGTAGAAGAAACAATGCAACACTTTGTCAACCCAGTCAGCAGAATTGTCGATAAGAAAACATAAAATTTTATCAGTATAACTGGCGCAGCTATACATGAAAAAACACTACACGGTATAAAGGTATCTGGCACAGAAACACACACACTCACACATAAACATATTTACATGCACACAACATTTTAAATCGCATTCTCACAGTGATGTGAATAAGAAGGCATCAGTGGATGACAAATGAAAGAGTTAGCAGACGTTGTGGACCAAGTCAGGATAAGGGCCAACGCGAGGGCCAGTCCTACGGTCACCCCTATGCGCTTCCTTAAGGTTAGTTGCGTATCCTTTACAGGACGTTGCAGAACCAACCCCAGCAGCCCCTGGTTGTTGTGTGGTTTCTCTAGGCAAATTTACATCTAGTAGTTTGCAATTGCTTTCTGGACGTTCGGCCCCCTTGATACCACTGTCAAAACCAACGCAAGGCTGGGATCGAACCCGGTACCCCGGCATTACGAAGCGTTCGCATCGACTTAGCCACAGAGCCGACACTTCCTCAAGGCCGGGCAGATTTATAAATGTGCTAGCTTTAAGAAAGAAATTGTCGGCACAATTGTAAATAAGAAAACACATTAGCTTCGGCACAACGTTGTGGATAATAATTACAATAATAATAAAAAAAAAAAAAATCCGCAACAGCTTATGGAAAGAGTTGCATAAATGTTGCTGCCACAGCTGTGAATGCGTAAACACTGCGTAAACAGTTTATGATCATGTTTACATGTGAGTGAGAAAATAAACACGCTTTGATTTTTTTTTTTCGTGGGGGGGGGGGGGGGGCATAATAAGAAACGTGAAAGTAGAACAACGCTAGAACTTAGATGGTTCAATTGTGGATGAGCACCAAAAAACGTGCAAGAACATCATAGAAACAGTCTTAGATTCTCACCATACAAGAAGATAAGATAAAGTTCATTAACACATAGCGACAAGCACAACATATTTATGCATGTTTCGTCAATGTTTTTTAATGCAGTTCTCTTTTTCATTCTTGCTGTATCCGAACCTTAACCCCTTTCTTAATTTCCTTCTGTCTTTCTTTCTCCCCTTTTTGTTCTTTCATTCTTTTTTTTAACCTTATGTCTGTCTGCATCTGTCTTTTGATCTTTCTATCATCCATTTATATTTCTTAATATCTCTCTGTTTATGTGTCTGTCCATGAATCTATCCATCTACCTACCTACCTACATACCTACCTACTTATCTATCCATGCATCCATCCAGCCATAGCTATCCATCCATCCATTCATCCCTCAGTCCGTGAGTCAATCCATCCAACAGCGATCAATTCATCCATCTTTCCATCTATCCTTCCATCCACCCATCCGTCAATAAAATTCTACCTTCTTCCCTATTTTCTTTAATTGTTTCGAATTGTCAATTTGTAACACTACTATAATATATATAAATACTCTAATAGTCAAGAAAGTTTGATATTTTAGGATAAGGAGGATTCAAACCTGTAAACTTAGTGACAACTGGCAAACCTAATTCAACTGATTAGAGAGAACACGTGTAAAAAGTCAAGAAAGTTAAATATGTTAAAATGAGAAAGAAACAATACCCGTGAACAAGAGTGACAAGTGCCAGACCGAATGCAACTGAATGTAGAGAAAACCTGAAAAAAAGTCAAGAAAGTTGGATATGTTAGGATGAGAAGTAAACAAACCTGTGAACTTAGTGACAGCTGTCAAACCTTATGAAACTGACTACAGAGAACACGTGTAAATAGTCAAGAAAGTTGAATATGTTAGGATGAGGAGAAAACAAACCTCTGAACAGAGCGGCAACTGGCAAACATGAGAAAACAGATGACAATTTGGGATTAGTGAGCTGGGGCTGGGGGAGGTGGGGGGGGGGCGGTGAAATAGATAATATGTCACAAAATCGACCTCGTATGATGAATCATAGCCGCCTACAATAATGAGCATAGCGCTGATATAGGTGTCTATGCACGTATTTGTTACCTGACACGGTACAGCCAGTACACACAGATAACCTACCATCTGCATGATCTCACTTTGTCTAGTGTTTTG